ATAGACTACTTTGCATAGTGAAAAGTAAACAACATTTTTCAATTTCTATAGTACAGAACAGTGAAGGAAATGGATTGCTGCAATTCATAGAAACAACTTATCATCACTTTACATGCACACCTGTAAGCTGATAACTCACAAATATCAGTTTCCCCGTTAACATTTAAACCAGTAACCATGACAACGCAAGTAAACCGTGTTTACATGACTTTATTAATAAATCAGGCCTTGACCCCGAGTGACAACAAAATTATCATTGGTGTATCTAACTGCGAGTATTTCATTTGTCATGTTGGTTGTGATGTTAAATAAAGCTTGCAACATGTAAACAGGAAACTTACAGCTCATATATTATCCTCTCATGCAGTTACAGATGCAGCGTTTTGACTGAACCGCTTCTACTTCTGCTGCACAAGATTCGAGGACATTTTTATAACTTTCTGGGTCATGAAAGAGTCTGCGTTTGTGATATATTTCCTTCCGAAACGCTTGCTCTGTGTGGACGTGTTTAAATCTAAACTAAGGATGCGGTTCAATAAGCCAGGCATTATTATTATTATTACTAAAGAAAACGGGTTTACGTACTCACATGACCACATGCGTTGTCAGCTTAATAAGCATAATCAGATATGTAAAAAAAATAAATAAATAAAAAAAAAAAAAAAATTCGGAAACAAGTTTTAGGGCTGGATTAAGAATTATTAGGAACACCATACTAATACTGTGTTTGACCCCCTTTCGCCTTCAGAATTGCCCTAATTCTACGTTGATTCAACAAGATGCTGAAAGCATTCTTTAGAAATGTCGGCCCATATTGATAGGATAGCATCTTGCAGTTGATGGAGATTTTTGGGATGCACATCCAGGGCACGAAGCTCCCGTTCCACCACATCCCAAAGATGCTCTATTGGGTTGAGATCTGGTGACTGTGGGGGCCATTTTAGTACAGTGAACTCATTGTCATGTTCAAGAAACCAATCTGAAATGATTCGAGCTTTGTGACATGGTGCATTATCCTGCTGGAAGTAGCCATCTGAGGATGGGGACATGGTGGCCATAAAGGGATGGACATGGTCAGAAACAATGCTCAGGTAGGCCTTGGCATTTAAACGATGCCCAATTGGCACTAAGGGGCCTAAAGTGTGCCAAGAAAACATCCCCCACACCATTACACCACCACCACCAGCCTGCACAGTGGTAACAAGGCATGATGGATCCATGTTCTCATTCGGACTCTACCATCTGAATGTCTCAACAGAAATCGAGACTCATCAGACCAGGCAACATTTTCCACTCTTCATCTGTCCAATTTTGGAGAGCTCTTGCCAATTGTAGCCTCTTTTTCCTATTTGTAGTGGAGATGAGTGGTGCCCGGTGGGCTCTTCTGCTGTTGTAGCCCATCCGCCTCAAGGTTGTGCCTGTTGTGGCTTCACAAATGCTTTGCTGCATACCTCGGTTGTAACGAGTGGTTATTTAAACGGTTTATTATACTAAACAGGTGTTCTTAATAATCCTATAGGTGAGTGTATCTGATTTTGATATGAGTGATCACCCATATTTAGACCTACCTATATTGAATGCCTATAAAGCTCATATATAAATTTGCTTCACATATTTCCCCGGCGTCGAAATCAGGCACATATAAATGTCAGGAAACACGATGACTGCATGTCGGTAACTTTGGTAAGTTGTAAGGAATACTTATGTCGAGTCCAACTATTGTTTGTTTTACTCTCGTTTCCGCAGCTCTTCCGCTATCAGTCCAGCTGAGGGGTTGTGTTCCCATGGGAAAGTGACGTCAATTCATATCCTCTATACCATACCATATGGATTGATGCATTGATTAAATGACAAACGATACGATGTATTGATCCGCGTGTAAAAATAATAATAATAATAATAAAATCAACGTACAATATATATAATAATAATAATAAATTATTAATTTACTTTTGATCATTACTCATGATAAATAAATGCATAAATAAACCAACAAATTCATTAATTAAACAAACCACTTGGCTTAGAAATCTGAGAGGCAGCTAGTTGAGGGTTTTTATCACATTAGTTATAAGTTTAATGCTTCTGAAGTTCTCGGTTTATATATATATATATATATAGTCCTAAAGCATAGCATTTATCTGAGATGCCAGTGAGCAAATCAAATGAAAGATGCAAACAGTTTGATTTGAAGTGCAGACCCCGCCCACCCCCAACTCTCACACACGCAATTATCTCCTCTTTCTCCATATACCATAGACTGGGGGGATTCGTTTCCATGACAATGCCTGCATCTGATGGTTAAATGAAAGCAGAAGATATTCCAGATGCATCCGAGAAGCCTGTATGGAAAGCAAACTGCATTCTGATCAGAGGACTGCTTTCAGACCAACCCTTCAGAGGAGAGGCGCCCTGTAATCAAAGAGCTGTGAAAGAGTCTACGTGTAAAAGTATTTTCCATCAGGTGAGATTCTCCTCACACGGCGGTCTGTTCAGAGGAGGTTAATGCGTTTTAATGACAAAAATGGGGGAGGGTGCTGCACTCTTGCCACTGTGCCTAATGCTGAGGACCCCTGCTGTTCTCCTAATGGTCACGGAGAGAGAGCGAGGACGGTTGTATCGCCCAGAGGCTAATAGCAGACACAACCACATTAGCTGTGTCCTGTGCCATCTCTCCTCACCAGAGCTCTGTGGGCAGAGAGGATATTAAACTGTCCCAACAGGTGCTGCTGTCACCTCACAAACACACACACACACACACAACTACAACAATATCCGGACTATAATATCCGGAGAATGGGGTCTGTTGCAATTAAGTTGTAATTAATAATATTAATAGGTCACATTGAGAGTGTTTTAATGTTTAATATTACAGCCTGGTACGGCAAGTTATGAGTGAGGAATAAGAATAAGTTGGGCTCCTCACAACCACTTAACTCCGAATTTGTAATGCTTCCATCTGGGAGAAGATATAAGGTCCCAAAATATCTTAGAAATGTGTTTGAACATTCCGTTATACCAGTGGCAATTAAAATATTAAATAAAGGGTAAGCAACTCTTGTGAGAATACCTTTTATTTGATTACAGTGTGCTCTGATTTGTCGGCTGGATCAGTGTGTTGTGATTGGTCAAGCACAAGTGTGTGTTTGGAAAATGCCACGCCCCTAACCATAAGTTCAGCTATTAACACTACTAACTCAACCAGGCCCCGCCCCTTTATTTTGCGTATGCCTTGGGCAGGAATTATTTAAACAAGGAATATTGTGACGTGTTTGTTCCCGGAAGAAAACTCAAGACTACAAACGAGCCTGAACAGCATCGTCGGCCCATCGCTCGTATTTTTTTAAACTCCATTCTTGACTTGAAGAGCAAACAACTGTTACTGAACGTACCACAACAGATTGAAATGAAATGCTGCGTGGAGTCAACCAATCAAAATGCGGCATGAACTCAACCAATCAGCATGTTCAGCACCCAAGTCCCACTCCTGAAAGTTCCTGGACTTTGAAAAAGTACTACCTCGCAAGCAGGGACTTTTGGAGGGGATAACTTCTTTAAACCCTGGCTCCAGCGGTGGAAACACACTGAGTACCAACCTAAAGTCCCTAATTCCTGGGGAAAGTTTGTGTGGTGGAAACGCGGATTTTGTATTGAGCCTTCTGGATTACAGTATCGTCTCTGCAAAGGATGTATGCAATTCATCTATGTGTTGTTTGCCTAGGAGAAGCCTTCATATATGATACGTTAAAATGCTCACAAGCTTCTATCTGCATACATTTTACATATGCAGTGGCTTGTTTCCTGTTGTTGACCTCTAGCTGACTGTCAGAGACTGGCTTCATTGACCCGGTCCATAATCCATCCTTGGACGAACAACTACACAAGACGGACCCATTTAGAGAATATATGAGTTAAGAGGGCAGTCGACAGTGCTACCGTATCCATGATGATAATTGTTTCGTATGGGGATGTGAGCTAACAACTATTGCCTTCCAAATTGGATCCCTGCTGAAAATATCATCATAGGCGATGAGCAGCACATTTTGTATTTTGGATGGGAAATCTTATGATCCAATTACAAACTCTTGACAAACACCAGAGTTGTGTGGTAAATACATTCTTGTCTGAATCAACATTTCTGAGTTTGCACAGAGGAACAAGCCAAAAAAAATAGTCAGAAATTGTTTAAAACAATGCTAAGAAGTTAAAGCAAGTATCTGACACTTTGCAAGCCAAAACAAATTATTATTTTTTAAATATGGAATATACACCCCTGGGCAAAATAAAAAATTGGGCAAGTCAAAATTGGTCCATTTTAATCGAGAACCACTGGTCTGGAAATTAGCAAGAATTGCAGAAATACTGTAGATAAAGTATAGCTTTCCCCAACTTGCAGACAACTTTTGGGGCTTCAAATTTTCTCCAGCCATTCACTTTCATTATAATGCTTGTAAGAGCCAGGACATTTTTTAATATAACTCCGATTGTATTCGCCTGAAAGAAGAATGACATATACACTTAGGATGCCTTCAGGCTATAAGAGTAAATCATGGGATTTTCAAAAAGTTTCATTTTTGGGTGAACTACCCCTTTACAGGACTTTTCACAGTGAAGCAACTCACCAATACCAGCAGCTAAAAGGCACCTCACACAATGACCCAATCTCTTCCTTCATGCTTCACTGTGCTAGAGATGCATTCATTATTAGCATTCATTATTATATTTCTCAGTACATTTTCGAAGACACTGCTCTGGAGCATCACCATGCAACTCATGTTTCACTGTGATTCAGCACGCCACACACAACTTCCCATATTCTGCCAAAAACTTAATTCTTTCATATAGCCTATACATTTTCCTGGTAACATCTTATAATACTGCTGTCAAATCGATTATTCACGATTAATCACATCGAACATAAGTTTGTAAATATATAACTTTTTTTTGTGTGTAATGGTTATATTCAGCTATGTTCTGCTTTGGCTATGTTTCATTGTGTTTTAGTTCTGAGTCTGTTCACCTGTGTAACCCAGATTCCCCGGTGTCTGCAGCCGTGGCGGTGAGGACCCCTCGGGTGGCCGCGGTGGTGAGGACCCTCCGGGGCGGCCGTGGCGTTGAGGACCCTCTGGGCGGCCGTGGCGGTGAGGACCCTCCGGGCGGCCGTGGCGGTGAGGACCCTCCGGGGCGGCCGTGGCGGTGAGGACCCTCCGGGGCGGCCGTGGCGGTGATGACCCCTCGGGCGGCCGTGGCGGTGAGGACCCTCCGGAGCGGCCGCTGGCGGTGATGACCCCTCGGACGGCCGTGGCGGAGGTGAGGACCCTCCGGGGTGGCCGTGGCGTTGAGGACCCTCTGGGCGGCCGTGGCGGTGAGGACCCTCTGGGGCGGCCGTGGCGGTGATGACCCCTCGGGCGGCCGTGGCGGTGAGGACCCTCCGGGCGGTCGTGGCGGTGATGACCCCTCGGGCGGCCGTGGCGGTGATGACCCTCCGGGCAGCCGTGGCGGTGAGGACCCTCCGGGGCGGCCGTGGCGGTGATGACCCCTCGGGCGGCCGTGGCGGTGAGGACCCTCCGGAGCGGCCGCTGGCGGTGATGACCCCTCGGACAGCCGTGGCGGTGGTGAGGACCCTCCGGGGCGGCCGTGGTGTTGAGGACCCTCTGGGCGGCCGTGGCGGTGAGGACCCTCCGGGGCGGCCGTGGCGGTGATGACCCCTCGGGCGGCCGTGGCGGTGAGGACCCTCCGGGCGGTCGTGGCGGTGATGACCCTCCGGGCGGTCGTGGCGGTGATGACCCTCCGGGCCGCCGTGGCGGTGATGACCCCTCAGGCGGCCGTGGCGGTGATGACCCTCCGGGCAGCCGTGGCGGTGATGACCCCTCTTCTTTTTTCAGGCCTCCGTGTGTCTTTGGCCAGCCACGGTGAAGGCGTATATCTGGGACAGCAGACACTGTCTCAGGCGCTGGCAGGCAGGTTGATGGGTTCAGGCACTGGTGGGCTCGATCACCTCCTGTATTGCGACCACCACGGGTTACCGTAAACCTAGCCAACCGAGTTCCTACGAAACGTTTACTCATCTTCGTTCTTTTTTTTTCAGTACTGGTGGATCGTTCTGTCAGGGTTGTTGCAGGTAGCTGAAGACGAGGACACGGAACTGCAGTATAGTTGATTTATTTTCAAACTTAACTTAACAGGACCAAACAAATACTCCAGAAATTCAGCACACAAAACCATTCAAAGACGACGATCCACAAACACTGAAGGAAAACACAGTGTTTAAATGAACAGGGACTGATGGGATAATTAACTAAACACAGGTGACGGGAATTACTAATGAGACAGAGCGGGAAAACTAAGAGGACTGAACCAAAATCACAAAGACAGGGGGAAACAAGATCTCAAAACTGAACTCAAACACATAGAACCGTGACACCGGGAGGGGGAGCTACTGTAATGGTCATATTCAGTTATGGTTCAGTTTTAGCTATGTTTCACTGTTTTAATTATGAGTCTGTTCACCTGTGTGGCCCAGTTTCCCAGTGTGTGCCTGTTTGTTCCCTTGATTGATCACCCCATTCACCTGTTGCCTGATAAATTAGCTTTTTTGCTCTTCTGTGTCTTCCTTCAATTCTTTGTTCGGTGTCGTCAGTGTTAGAGGGTTTTCTTTTCTGTTTCCCTGAGTGTTTCTATTATGCTTTTCGGATTATTTGTGTTGAATTGTCCTTTGCCGTGCACTTCCACCCATGACTGTGTGTGTATGCATCTATGTACTATATATAGAATATTTACAACCCTTTATGTTAGATGCGATTAATCACGATTAATTTGACAGCACTAATATTATTATATAATTATACATATTTTATGATAAGTCCGTGAAGGTACTGCAGAACGTCCATGGAGAAGATGATTTTATATAAAATATGTTAAATTTATAACTTTTCATAAAAAAAAAATATATATATATATGAAGAGTTCAGATGCAAAAGCCTCTAAGTGCCATTTTAAATTATCTTCTAAAATGATCATTTTTATCAAGCTTGTATATTTAAGTTCAGTAATTTCACTTAAATGGCAATGAAGATTACCTATTAATTGTCATTTAAGTGAAAGTACTGAACTTAAGTATACAAGCTTGATAAAAATGGTCATTTTAGAAGAAAATTTCAAATGGCATTTAGAGGCTTTTGCATCTGAACTCTTCATATTCTCTCATTGAAAAATAATTGTCACGCAAATTTGTTAAGGGATTGATATGATTTTTCTGTGTATTTTTCTTCTTCAATCTTTTCCATGTACCTTCTGCAGCCCCTTCATGGACCCCGAGGTTGAAAATAGTGTTCAAATGTTAAAAAAAAATCCAGCTCTGTGGACAAGCATGATTTACTGTGGTAATCGACACAGATGGAGTCTGTATAGAGCTCAACTTGAACCTGTAACTTTCCTCAATACTTGAGTTTTATCACAGAAGAGCAAATGTTCCTTCACAGATGTCAAGGTGAGAAACCGTTATGGTCCGAATAGGGCTGTAGAGTGGATTTAATAGCTTTGTACTGTTACAACGCGATCGTGTCCTTTATGTGTAAACACATAGTGTGTTCTGAACAGATTTAATACAGAGTGTTCAATGAATGACTAAAAGCCATTGTCATCATCCACTTCACATTGTTCTCCATTAATTTTCCCACTATTAGTTCCTGTGGTCGCCACGCTCTGAGAAATAGTGATTGTTTTGTTTTATTTCACCATGGCTTGATTAAAGATTGCTACACTGAGAGCTTCTGGTTGTGGCTTTGATTCGACAACAATAGATTGGGAGTCTGGGAACACCGTGTTTTTCATGATGTCAATCTAATAACACAACTCCTGAACTAGTGCGCAGCTCTTCCTCTACCAACCCCCCCTCCCCAACTATATTCCATATTGTGTAATTTACTCCACCCTCTCGCGCTCTTCACAATATGTTTCCGATAATGTGTGCATGTCTTTGTGTTTTTATGTACAGAACATCCTAATACTGAGTGATGCGTCTGCCCATGTGTTTACCCAACTCTGTGTAATCAGGATGTGACCGCCCACGACCCACTACAGCGCAAGGATGCACACCAACCCCTGTTGCCAAATGAGCCATACGCAGGCTAATATGTTTGACTTGCAGCCCTGAAACACACTTTACGACCTGTTGGACTGGAGAAATGAAGAGCACGTGTGCGTTGAGCTCCGGGAAAACACTTGGAAACTGAGAATGAAGGCTAATAGAGCCGCGAAACGTAATGAGTGAGATCCGTTTTCACAGGACGCAAGGTCACGATATGATCTACACACAGAAAAACACTGCAGTATGTGTGCTGTGCATGAAATGTTATTACTGTGGACTGATATTATCAATCAACTTTATTGACATGGTGTTCTCGCTTTACTCGCATTCAAACAAAACAGACTAGATTAAACAAGGAAGTTTGACAGGATTTCTTTGAGCACTAATCCTTGCGCGTCAAGTCTTCATTAAACATAATTGGCTGTAAATGTGGCGGGTTTTCCGCGGGAGTGTGTCGCACAAGTTCAACTAGCGGGGAGGCTGAAAAACATTAGAAGAAAATGTTCTCGACTTGTGGCTATTTTAGGTGCTTTTAGTGGGATGTGAGAGGGTTTGTAAACCCTTTGTTTGTAGTTTCATCCATAAACGATGGCAAAGCGTGTGTGTGTAAAAAAGTGGATGCTTTCCTATTGAATGATAATTACGTTGCTGTGGGTTGCCTGGATACAAACCATGTGAAATCATTGGGTGTATCAGAGGTTGCAGAAACGCAAATCCCCTTTGTGACAGTAAGTTGCGTTTTACATTCAATATGCAGACCAAAATTACCGCCTCACTGGTATCAATTTACGACAACAATTTGTGGACAAAACACGGAAATGGTTTAAATTCACACTGGAGTCTGAAGCGCTTGGTCCTGACCGTGTAATTGAGTTTTTTGTCGTCAGCAATGGGATGGAGATGTTATGAAAACTCCAAACAACCTCAAATGCACAATAACACACCGATATTGAAATTCTTTTCAGATGTGATTACCTTCTTAAAAGAAACTTCAGGAATGCCTAACCTGCAATTTTCATAATAAGCAAATGCGTATGCCACAATTGGAGCTACAATCATAAAGCACTTTTACTCATTTAAATGTGAGATTTCGGGAGAGGGAAAGGGGATGGTTTTCTAAAAAAACCTGATGTCCCGGATTGTTCCTGTCCCCTGAGAGAAGTGCGCCACAAGTTAAATCTCATGTGGACATTAAAAGCACTTTGACAACCCAAAGCCTTCGTTCTTCTAATAACCGGCATGCATTTGCATCTGCGAAGTCATTAAATCTAGTGCAGACATGGCCACCATGGTAATGATGAGCCAAGTTTGCATTTGCTAAGCTAAATTATTTTTCTTCACGTTCAGCAAAATCGCTTTTTCTGCCACACAGGGGTTTGTTAATAAGCCTGTCATCTAGCCTATTTCACACCATAAGTTCAATAAATATGGTGTTTGTCTTCCTGTTGTGCAGTGCACCTAAAAAAATAAATAAAAGTTGGCATTTAAAGCAGTTTTTGATTTTTTTTTTTAACTTCTTTTTTACCTCGTCAAAAAAGTTGCACTTTGAATCTCGTTTTCAGGCCCCCAAAATGCCATTGTCGTGAAAATGAATGACAGTGTTTTTCTTCTTGTGAGCCTGTTAAAGGAGTAGTTCACTTTTAAAAAACTTGTGCTGGTAATTTACTCACCCCCATATCATCCAAGATGTCCATGTCTTTCTTCAGTCGAAAAGAAATTAAGGTTTTTGATGAAAACATTACAGGATTTTCCTCCATATAATGGACTTCAATGGGAACCAAATGGTTCAAGGTCCAAAAGACAGTTTCAGTGCAAACTGTTCAAAGGGCTTTAAACCATTCCAGACGATGAATAAGGGTCTTATCAAGCGAAACGATCGCTCTTTAAAACAAAAACAAAAAACAAACAAAGTTTAAGTTTTATAAGCTCAAATGGTCGCCTTGCTCTGTACTGTGATGCGCGTACGCAACTCTCCTATTCGAACTCGTTCATCAAAATGAACGAATCTTTTCCCGAGTCAACTCATTCATTTTGTTCGTTGAATGAAATAAAAGACACGAAAAAACATTTGTTCATTTTGATAAACGAGTTTGAACAGGAGAGTCACGAACGTGCATCACAGAACAGAGCAAGGCGAACATTTGAGCTTATAAAACTTAAAATTATTTATTATTATTATTTTTTAATGAGTGATCGTTTCGCTTGATAAGACCCTTAATCATGGTATGAAATTGTTTAAAGCCCTTTGAACAGTGTGCAGTTTGCACTGAAACTGTCTTTTGGACCTTGAACCGTTTGGTTCCCAATGAAGTCCATTATATGGAGAAAAATGCTGTAATGTTTTCATCAAAAACCTTAATTTCTTTTCGACTGAAGAAAGAAAGACATGGATATCTTGGATGACATGGGGGTGAGTAAATTATCAGCAAACGTTTTTTTTTTTTAAAGTGAACTACTCCTTTAAGTGACTCTACTGGAAAGTGAAATTGAGGACACAGGGAAATCTATTAATCTATTATCGATTAAAACATTCCCAAGAAAAAGGTGTATGTATATATATGAAAGTTTCAACTTTACAATTGAAACTCTACTGAGCAAACTATCTGAGCACAAAACTACAAACTTCTCCCAAGCACACTGGACAGGATCCAGAGGGTATTAACGCAGAGTACTGGCATATTCAGACAGATCCTGTTGTGGGTAATGGAGGTTCAGAGGGACTTTTGTGATAAATAGAGCACCATCTGTAGCGGTATGTAGATCCAGGTGATGGCTCATCTCTTAACACCCAGCACTTTCACCAGGCTTTGTCTGGGACTACTCCATGGATTGGGGATTCAATTGCACGATTATGTACTTTCTGATAGGATGTTGACAGGGCTGTTTAAAACATTGTGTGTGTGTGTGTGTGTTGTCCTTGTAAACCCTACGTTATGGGGGCCAAATGTCCCCACAAGGATAGTAATAACTGAAATGTTT